AAATTTTTATTTGCTATAGGTTATAGTGTTTTATTGTACACAAGCCAATTATATACAAATCACAATTTTACACATAAAAATGTATACTGTATTACATCATTCAAGGCTTTGCAATTTCAATTACGATTGCTAAGATAGTGTGTTGCTCATGATTAACAAAAAAGACCACTGATGAGTTATCAACAAACCCCGCCGCAGACTGTAAACCACAGCACAATAAATACGTGAACCATCCTATGCAGAGCCCACTTTAAAACAAACACTTCAAGGATTGGTTTGAGTTTGTTTGAAAGAGAAGCACATCGATACAATCATGATCATTTAGTGCTGTGGAAAAAGTGAGATGGACAGACAGAATTTCTCAAACACGGGGAAAGTTAATAAGTAGGACCTACCAGTGGTGCCCTCTAGCCACACGCTGCGAGATTGGAAAGCAAAGAATTTGTGTCACAAATTACAAGATTTTTTGTTTTTACAGAATGGGAGGGACGGTAGCACAGTGCAGGCCACTCTAAGTGTCAGTCAGCACAGAAGGCCAAACGTGTTGCTCTGCATGTACTGAAATAGCCTGGGTCAATACATGTGTACAAAAACCATTTAGGTCATGGTGATTGTGTGAACTTTGTGAAGGTAGAAGGAATAAAAATATGGGCTTGACAAAAGTTCAAACATAATTCAGGGTTTTTGACACTGGAGAAAAGTTGCATCTTTTTAAAAAAACAAACAAGATACAATACATAATTATGTACTCTTATTTTCTTTCATTCAGTACATGAACAATCACTTTCCGACACTAACCAAGGAGGACTTTGGGTCCCACAATGCCAGAAACATAGATAATCTAACATTAATTTTAATTTGATAAATTTTTTGCGTAACATCAAAAATATCTAAACAGTGTACCCAACCCCCATGGACTCAATTGGTATCAATTAAGAACAAGATGCATGCACACATATATAAACACACTCATTCTTACTCTCTATCTCTCCCTCTCTCTCTCCCTCCCTCCCGCTTTCTCTCTCTCTCTCTCTCTCTATCCCCTACTCACACACACACTGGCCAACACTTACTAACAATCAAAGATAACGGTCGTGGTCTATCATATGGCAGGAAAAACAGCAAGTTCAAGGCGTGCTGCTTATAATGTAACTGGCAAACTCATAAAAAGGTGTCCTGTTTTAAAAAATAGATGAGGACTGAAATGAAAGAAAACCGCTTTGAAAAGCATGAAATTTTCATCTGTAAACTATAAGGAAACTTTAGCGTAAAAATTCGAGGTGTCTTGGAAACTCACGGGGACAAATCTAATAGACAATTTGAGGTTGCTAAACAGGTAAAAGGGTATAAAGTTTAAAAAATAAACCTCCCACACACCTTTTTTTTGTTTTTGTATAGGTAGGGATAATTTATTCACAATTATATTATTGTATAGTGTCAAACTTATTGATAGGGAGAACCAATATAATGCCCATAATGGGAGTTTAAAAAAAATGCAAATTGGCACCGTAAAAATAAAAGTAATTAGCATACGAACCACTTATATAAGCTTAGGGCATAAAATATAGGCTTACCCTGTCATTTGTTTATGTAATAGGACCACTGAAGCACAACAAAAACTAAAGTAAACGGTATACTGGCAAATCGAACACTTTTTTAAAACAGGTTAGAGCCACTTTAAAGCTTGCTGAGAAGGTTTAAGAAATATCAATTGTGAAATAAATTTAGTGACACTTATAACCAAAACAATTACCTGTGTCAAGACCATAGTGCAAAAAAAACCCAACTTACAGTCCTTGTTAACAGTAGTACTTGTTAAAAGGAGGCTGAGGCAAATGACGATCTGTTCAATTATATCAATCTCAGAAACACTATTACACAAAATCACTTTAACTTAGTCAGAAAGGTACTTTTCTTGCACATTGCATAGAGAACAGCAGCTAGCCCAAAGAGCTTTTTTAACATCTGAATAATTGAAATGAGATGAAAAGATTGTTGACCTCTTGTCAGCTCTCAATTTGACTAATCAAAGCAGCGAGACATTTTTTTACTACGAAAAGAAAGTAAAAATAAATTGCATTCCCTCACTGAATATTCAGAGAATGAAAATTTAAGAAGACTAAGAAACATAATGTCTTAGTCGAACGTAAAGACTATAAAATTACCAGCCATCATCAAACAACAGCTTTTCAAAAAACAAAACGATACTGTGGCAAAAAAAAAAAGGAACAGATAAACATAAAAGGGCTTGTTATGTCCTAAAAGTCTGTACACGTAGAACAAACTTTCGGGGAATGATCAAAAATAGACTCAAAATTGCAAAGCTAAAGCATATCAAAGTACTATTTTAGTATTCAAAATGGATCTTTAGCCTAAGCCCAAGGATAACAGTAGCCTATATACACATGACTTCACATGCTGGACGATATAATGTCTGATACATGTTGTATAGTTCTGTACACATATTACAAAGGACTAAGAATGAAAAGTTCGAAGTAGCTCAGTTTGATGGCATAAAAAGTTGTCCATAGCTTCATTTAACAAAAACAGAAAAAGAAAAATTTAAGAAGTCAGCATACCATATACTATTATTCCTGGCAGGATGCCATAGTAACAAAGTACCAAGAGACACACTCTTAATTGGTAAACAGAATTTGTACCATACACTGCTGGCTGGCAACACTGTAGGCCTAATATGAATAATCAGTCATTGAATAATCAGTCACCCGATACAGTGAACTTGATACTGCAACCGTCCACACTTTAAAATGTACAAGAATTAATGCACAGCTTTGGAGCTTTGGAAATAATATAGTGACCCTATTTAATGCACACAAAAAAAAGAAAATATAGGGTTTTATAATTATATTCACTGGCTCAAAAGAGATAAATTAATGATTGAACACTACATTAAAAACTACGGGAATAATCAACCTCATCACGATTTATTATGTGTGGCAATTCTGAAAAAAAAAAGTAATCATACACCATGACTCTAATATCCCGAGCAAAGAAAGCTCCTGATCAATACAGTAATTACTTTATATATGAACACCAGGAAGACATTCAGAAAATCATGGACTAACAGAGGGAGAAACAAGATTTCCAAAAAAAATTTTAAAAAGTAAAGTACCGTAAATTAATACTTATAATGTACTTGTAAAAATAATGAAAAAAACCCACCAACTACCAGAACACAGATGTGAGAAACAGACATTGCTGTATTGTAATACATGTAGTAGAAATCTACTTGCTGTCAAATCAATAATTTTATGACATAATTTACAATTCGTACACTGAAGATTGTTTCAATTAAAATACGTCATGTATAGTATAATTTTTTTGTGATTGACATGCTGAACAAAAATGGAGAAAAAAAAAAGTGAATATTTATTTCAAAGTGTATTTATTATACTGGTGTTGTATAAAAGTGTCATGTCAGTGTGACAGTTGTGTTGTCATGCAAGCTTCACTGGTGTCACTATATATATCAAGTGAATGATCACGGTTTATGGCAATGGACTGTTGACCAGTGAGTGGGCCTGCAACACAAGGGCACAATATCACATGTAGAACTAGTTCTTATAAATTTCATGTAAATGTATGTCTTCAAGGAACAAACAAAATCAAACTTGATTTTCAAGACTTTTGTGAAGTCCAACAGGTGAAAATTGTAGTGGTCTAACGCCCCTATCAACACTATTAGGTTATTTAAGAGGCGGGACCTCCGAGTTTAACATCCATCTCCGAAAGGACCAAGCCAAACGAGAAATTCATGTAAAGCGTCTTTCCTAAGGACACAACGTCGGGCCAAGCTGACGCTCACACCCCCGAACCAGCAATCTCACGATTACGGGTCCGGTAGCCTAACCACAAAGCCACCGATGCCACAGTCCAATAAGTGTCCTTAACCAAAAGCACAAAAGAATTTAGAAATGACTATTTCTTGCTGGGATGAAAAAAAAGTGTACCTAAAAACAGAAGAAAACATCTGTTATGTTACAGGCATTTGACATAAATTTGCTGTGTGAGTTACCAAAAAATCGAAAGCAAGCTGAAAGAGATGTGAGTAATGAATACCTACACGAAAATTATGGATGAAAAAATCAATAGCAATATATGCCCACCATCCAAGCACCAAATAAAATAAAGACCTAATTGTAAATAAACAAAATCATTTCATCATTATTGTTACAATCAAAGAAGCTAGAAAAAGAACAGTCACATTTCAAGACATAATACAGATGAAAACATTCTAGGGGATTACTTCTCAGCCATCACTGAAGAACTTCCAGTGACACTCTAACAATGATTTGAATAAAAGCCAACCTCATAATTTGGCAAATGGTCTTCATAGACTTTTCGCAACTATGCGGATCCGGTCAAACTATACAGCAATTCAATTTCAGCTCTTCACAGGAAACTCATGTTTGAGATAGAAATGTTCCAATCCTTTCAAGCATTATTAGTTAAGTGCAGTATGAAGACGTCTGCCAAAATATCGTAAAATCTACAACCACTTTCATGTCATATGTGATTGTTCATAATGGTTGAAGTAATCACAATATCACTCCTGTTACAAAAGGACAAGTATTTTTACAAGAGGCAAAAGTAACTGCATACCTCTATGGCTTCTAGGAAAGTGAAGCTCTCCGAATCATTCATCTGTCCAGTATGTTGTTTCAAGTTTTTCTCTTCAATAAAATTGCTAAGCTAACATGGTCTTTATTATCGCCTTTTATTTAAGAAAAAGGTCTGAATTCCACATGAAGTGCAGCTAGTCTTTTGTTCCTTAATTACGACATTTTCAGCTTATCAAGAAATAACATCATACAAAGAAATTCTTTTGCATGGCTTACATTACAACACATTGAGCTTTCATAGTACCGGCAAAAATTTGCAAAAAGTATATGTTAAAACACACTTTTCGAAAAAAAAAAATCCATCACTGTCATCAATATAAGTATACTTTATTCCATGCTCAGGTCTTTTTTGCACCTTCAATCCACATTTTTCGGAGGAATGCTGTCATCATTGTCTTCCACTAGAGGGGCTGACGGGTCAGCGACCGGGTCACCATTCGGCTTGTGAAGGTCACCTTCATCCTCATGATGACTCTCCTTGAACTTCTTCCACAGCTGTTTCAGAAGGTCAAGGGTCATGATTTCACTGGTGTTATCAGCCACAATGCGCAACATAAATACACCATCTGTGCGCAGATAATTCCGAGTGAAGCGAACAAAAAGCTTTCTTTGTCTCTTGGAGTCAATACCCAAAAGATTCAGATTTTTTGCCAGGAACGCTTCGCTACGGGTTTGGCTGATTCCTCTTATGATCCACTGTATCATATTGACCGTGTTGAACACAAGGAGCATCACCAACCAAAACCACAGGATCAGGTACATCTTCTCCAAAAACAAATTGATGGACAGAACACACTGGACAGATAAAGTCTGAATATTCTCCAGCTGTCGCACCTTGTAGTCACACAAACCGATACGAGGGAAGTTATACAAATCTTGCCAACGTCCTTTTTTGTTCCAGATCGTAAATGCATCAATCCCGAATCTCCAAAAGTTCAGATCCAAAAATGCAGAGAGAAGGAAAAACTGGCCAATGACATTCACAAAGTACAGAAGTTTTGTGAACATATACAGTCCGCTGATATATGTGCCAGTGCGCTTTCCAAAACACCATATCACGCTGGAGAAGCGGTCTCGGAACCTGGTCAAGGCGTTATACTTGTACTGAGAGTAAGTGCGGAGCCATCGGTCGATGAAGTGGGCAATGTGTCCCATCTTTTCATCACGTTCTTCTTGCTTCATCATGGATGTCTCCCATGCCATCCCCACCACTTTGGAGACGTTCAGACCAGAGTAAATCTTCAGCTCCTGCCACAGAATGTTAGGGAATTTGAACAGTGCTGCTTGCAGAATGAACATCAGAAACACCCAACGGTAGAAGCCAACGTCATTAAACCACCTATAATGCAAAAAAAAACAGATCAAAAAGAAAAATACATCAATTATCAGTATTCATTCTTTATATAATCCTTCTCTTGGAATAGTATTTCATGACCCTAGAACCATATGGGTGGATACAGGTGAATAAAAACAACCCCCCCCCCCAAAAACCCCCCCACCAAAATGCAAAAGTCATTCATAGAAAGGAAGAAACAAATCACACTGAAGACACAAATAATACAGCATTAAATCTTTTTATCTTTTCTTGATTTGATTCAAAAGTCACAGAATACATTGAAAGAAAAGAAAGGAGATAAATGTAGGCCTAGTTAGAGAATGACAGAGACTGGAATATAAAAGCGTACCAGCATTTGCAAACGAATGTTGATAGATATTATAACAGTGCTCCAGAATGTAAGGGGACTTCAGAAGGATTTTCAACATGAGTAATACAGTTGGCAAAATATGACAATCAAGACTTCTGTGCTGCATTTAAAAAAAAAAGATGAAACATTAATATTACCTAAAAGATAAGGAAACTGGTAAAATGCAAACTGTGTTCTAAGTGGGCTTAACATTAAAAAAGTAGATAAGTCTCAGTTACTTTTTAATACAAGCTATTAACGCACGAAATCTAAGTACAACAACTACAATACAAAGCCTCCCCTCACCCCCCCCCCCCCCCCCCCGGGCAGTGCCACTGACAGTAGTGTCTTTAGGCCATTTCCAAACGGGAGACATTTCTCGTTCAAGCACAGTAGAATTGTAAATGGGCTGATTCATCATGTCACTCTCATAACTGTGCCTGATCTGCAACAGGGAACTGCTGCTTTTTCTTTCCTAATCCTTACTATTGTCATTTTCCTCTACTTCTTTTGTATGTTTGTCACTCTTGTGACCTGTTATTTCCGGGGTGCCTTGATAGTCGAAGCAGACTTTGTGGTTTTGAAGCGAGAGAGGTGAGCAGAGTAAGTCTCTGTGAGGACTTCTCTGTTGACACCCACCCCTTGGCGCTCATATGACCTTATGCAGTTGCAAGCGCCGTAAAACCGTCTACTATAAAAAAAAAAAGGCTTTGAAGAAAAGCATACATAATGAAAACAAAACGCCTTTAAAAGCCAAAGAGTATCAATTATAATTTTCTGTGAGGCTTTAATGAGTATCCCCAACTTCTAGAGTGGATGCTGTACCCCATTCAACATGGATAGGTTCTGACAAACAGGGTCAAACTGAAAGTTTCTCAGGTGACCTACATTGTGCTGATGAGGGCATAAAACATCAAACATTTATCATAACAGTCAACCATCAGTGGAAAGGAAGGCGCCTACAATCAAAATCTGGTCTAATGACAATTTGTCCAAGACACTCATCTGTACAAATGACCACATCCTACTTCCCTATTTTGCCTTTTTTTTCTACATCGTAATGACACTGTCCAGAAGGACCTCCACTCTTAGATGACCCCGCAACAATAGTTGGTCATCTTTGACAGATTCGACTGTATTTTTACGTCTTCTGTTCTACTCAAAGATATCATTACTCATCACAGTACAGTATAAGCAAACATGAACATTCATTTCTCCTCACCTTTCTTCCTCATCAAAAGGAATAGAATCTTCCATAGGGACATTGTACATGGGATGGATCCAGCAATAGCTGTCGGAATACTTCTGGAAATGTTTTTTCTTGTACAACGCAGGAACCCAGCAATGAATGGGGTCTCCGACATACTGTTTGGCACCCGTGCCTGAGAGAAATACAAACATAGAAAACATTGCTTTCGTTTGTTTGGGTTTTTTTCTTTTCCAGCGCATGAATGTAATCATTTCATTTCAAAATTAAAAGAAATTTACTCTTCTACTGTAGTCAAAGTTCTATACATGCTGAATAGGGATAGTTCTATAAAAAGAAACAACAAACAAATACAAGAAGCTATTTTTGTGTTTTTCTCAACTGCTTTGAAATAAATATAGCAGACACATGTTGGTTCAGTAGCAGTAGCAGACCAAAGGCAATATTGCCCAATATTCCAACATTTCAAACCGTCATGTATACACAATTCAAAACCACAAATTTGCATATTTTTTAAAATGCATGATCTTGCTTGTATAATTTAAATAAAGAAAATGGAATGAAAAAATCTGTCACACTCAGACAATCCAGGTCCGATTCCCGAGAGGGGAGAATTTCTAAGGACTTTCTCAATAGTTAAACTTGGGACATGATATCCCTCTCAGATTGGGTTGGCCCATACCGGCATGGGCAAAGTAATGCACCTCCTTAATGACCTAAATTACGTTGACGGGGGTGTAAAACACAAACATTTAAAAGAAAGTGGACATAAATAAGTCAAAATTTTAGCGCACTCATCCCGTTCTTGACATATCGCAAAATAAATCAATCATTCTCCTTTCAATAACTGCCAATACCCCCTAGAATTGTGTATGCCACCTTTTTTACCCCCCCCCCTCCCCCCCCCCCCCCAAAAAAAAGAAAGGAAAAAAAAAAGAAAAGAAAAGAAAGAAAAGAAAAAAAAACAAAGAAAAAAACAAAACAACCTTCATGAGTCAAAAAAATCTGGTCAACATTCCCAAAGTTCATCACGGACCAAAGGTTTATGGTATGAATGAGAAAACAAACTGAACAACGAACCTATAGCCAAGGCTAGGAGCAGCCCAGAGGAGGCCCAGTGGTTGAGCTGGTCAATGGCATCGTCATCTCGGATGCGGCTTCGCAGCGCGATGTTCGCGAAGTTGGTCAAAATTGAGGCGATAACTGGAGCCCTGAAATCAAATCAATGATATAAATTATTTATTCACTTATATCAGTAGGCCTATTATAACGCTGCAAGGTACGGTGAGAATCCCAAAAACAAAACGTAATTCAATTTATGCAGATATTTAATAAACAAAAGAAAGATCAAACGTAAAGACACTTTAGACAGTGTAAAATAAAGCCAGAAACAAATTAACAATATAAGGGGTCGACCAATCGGGGTCAGAGGAATCTGAGTAAGATAAGCGAACATTCGTTTGAAAATGATTTGCATGTAAAAACTTTAGGTTCTGTGAGCAAGATATATTTCAAAGTCAAAAGCACCCCCCCTCCCCACCTTTCCCACACCCCGCCCATTTAAAGAACCCTACAAACTCACCCTCTATTTCTGGAACAAAAGAAAGAACTATAAGAAATGATATCAGCTACTTTTACTTCAGTCACAAAGAAAGTTAACGAGTATCCACACAAGATCATTTGAGCAAGTAAAGCTTCATATTATGACAAAAAGAACAAACAAAAATGCCAATCCACTCCCCTTTTTAGAGAAAACAAAAACAAAACGAATAACAAAACAACAACGGTAACCCAAATGAAACGAAAAAAAAAAGAAACGAAATAATGTACACAATAAATTTTAATGATTAGCAGATAAAGACAGTAGTAAGTAAATTCAAGAGGAAATAGACCACACTTACATTGTGAGACTTGTGTCGCGAAACTGTGCACGGTGTCAGGCTCAGAACGAGAGGTCTAACTGAGGAAGCAAACAAAATTGCTCGGTTATATCAGAGTGTTTGAGAATATTTTTCAGATGAGTATGATATAGGTATTTCTTGTTACAACAGAGATAAACTACTGCCAAATTCAATTCAAATACAATGTAACCTACAAAACTTTTAAAAAACCCAAACCTGTCCTTATACTAACGAACAGTAGTTGTGTGTGTGTGTGTGTGAGTGTATGTGTGTATGAGTTTGAGTATACATGCGCGCGCGTGTGTGTGTGTGCGTGTGCGTGTGTGTGTGTGTGTGCAAGCGCTTATGCGTGCGTGTGAGTATGTGTACGTGTGTGTGTTTGTGTATATAGGCGTGGCTGTGTGTTTGTGTTTTTGAAGCGTCTCAGAAGATGCATTGTGGTTAATAGTTATCCCAGACTTCCAAAGCACTGTTTTGGGGTTAAAAACCCCCCAATTAAAGCCATTATTGGGAAAATGAACTCTCATTCCAAAAACGTCATGTTCGGGTTTCCCTTAAGTTGCTCTACAGAATGGAAATAATTAATGTTGAACACGGCATCGTTATTAACAACCCTAAACACTGTAACCCCGCGGAATGATCTTTCCCTACTTTTCTTTCTCGTTCTACACAACAAATAGGGCAAACAAGCCGACAGTGAAACCGGGAAGAATTAAAGTAACAAACAAGGAAAATTAGATCATAATTTTACAACAAGAGGTTATTGGAAGCAGGAAAAGGAACAGACAAGCACTCTCATTGCCTTCTATAAAAATACAGGTTAAATGCCCCTTTCAACGTTTTTAAAAATCAGCCGAGGCCTCTGAAAGTAATGTCCGTCTCCGACAGGCTCGAGCCACATGGGTGGAGAGTCTTGAAAACTCTTCAAAACGTCCCAATTTTGGGTCAAGTTCAGAACACCTGTTTGGGGATTCGAACCAGGGCCATCCGTTCAGTAGACCACCATGCTACCAGTAGCGCCAATGGTGCGCCCATGTAGACTCACAAGTGGCGTCCACCTAAGTAGCATTTCGCAAGCATGCTGTTCAACTTCACAAAATAATATAGACTACTAAATCTAGACAGCATCATGATGTTCCGGCGAAAAAAAACCCCAAAACAAAACAAAACAAAAACAAACCAACAATCACCCCCCCCAACCCCCCCCCCCCCCAAAAAAAAACAAACAAAAACAACAATCGCCCCCCCCCCCCCCCCAAACAACCCAACACAAAACAAACCGTCCATTCTTTTAATGATTGAACCTGCTTTACGTGTTTTATCCGATTGTTTTGTGTTGTATACTTTTTTCGGGGGGGGGGGGATTTTTGAACATTACGAATTTATTTTGAATTTCGACAAAACATTTTGGAGCACAAGCAACCGATACCACAAAACGACACTTGAAAAAAAAAAAGAATAAAAATGAAAAATGTTGGGCTTAGTAACCTACTTCTGATCAGCTGACCGACAATATTTACAGCAAGAATACCTCTCAGCTAATACATTCTGTTCCCTCACTCAGTGAGCACACCACAGCCTACATTATTCCAACCCAAACAGCACGTCACCACGCAGACCTAATCATCTCCATTAAGTGCCAGCGGCAATTGGCCTCAGACTCAGAGATCATGTCGCTCTATTTCTCTCTGTGCCAGCGATCCCCGACAATGTCGCGACGCGGTGGAATCGTCACTTTTCTGGGCATGTGGAGTTGTTGGTACCATCTTAAAAACTTGTTCATTTGTCTTTCGATTAAAAAATACCCACCTATCTTGAAAAAAAGTTGAGATAACATGTATTTGCAACTGAAGTAGGTGGGGGTCGCCTGCCTGATTTCAGAATTAGAAACAGAGGAGGGAAAGTAAACCAAAGAAGCTGGACCTACAAGTTCCCCGCCCCCACCCCACCCCCATCAGCAACTTGGGAAATATATGAGTAAGCACAGTTGATATTGGAGAGGGATTAATCGTTAAATTTCCTTTGTCTTATTTTTAAAAATTGTCTTTGTGTTACCCTGGTAGATCTCCGGGGTAGTCGACAAGGCTTAGATTCTACTGGTTCTTCAGTCGGCAGTGCAACTGATTTTTACATTCACTTATTTTAGAAAGTGGAGCTGAAAGCAAATGACAAAATAATACATAATAATAAGTCATATTATGACTAGACAACAGAAAAGTAAGTGGCTGGGTAAAATGTTAGAAGAGAAACGTTTTCGTCGCTCACAGGTTTCGAACCCAGAACCTATTGAATAAGAGGCGAACACCGTGCCTCAAGACCAAAAAGCCCTGGCTTTCTTTCTTGATGTCCAAGGAGGAGCAGGGGAGTATCGGTCAACAGAAGGTCAGCCCGATAACGTCGATACGTAGCCAGGAACAGATAAGAGCAACGAAAACAAAGATCTAGACCTGGACAGGACCACTCCAGAACGCCCCCCCCCCCCGGCCACTCACAATCTATGGCGATATCCCACCAAGGACCACGAGCTAACGCCACTGGGGATCGCCACTCCAAACTTCTAGACAGGTCACAGAATTCTACACTTAAGTGAGACAGGTCCAAAAGTCTGGACAAACAGTGGTCACATGTCTGCCGCCAGAGCAACAGTCCACGCTATTGGACATCTTAAAAAGTAAAAGTGTGTGTGTGCGTGGGGTTTTTTTGTTGGGGCGGCAGGGGGTGTCAGGAAAATACATGTGTAGATCTATGATATATCAAACATTCCAAAAGAAAGACGGGCTTGATAAAATAAACTTTCTCACTCAAAATGAAATATAACAAAACATGCATGATATCTAGCGTGAGATCGCAAAAGGCTTTCTATTACATTACACGATTATCGATGATCACCAAGTCTACCGTACGACTAAAAACGAAAAAAAAGGGCAGAGATGGTATAGAGTACAAGTACAACTAACTGTCACAAACAAGTAACGTGTTATCTCGGAGTACATATTCAAGTGCTACATTCTCCTTCTGGGAGGGCAGTACCTTCTGCTGGCATTTTGCCGACTTGTCATAGTTTAACACTCGTAACTCTTTTTGGGCGGTGGTGTGGTTTGGTGCACGAGTGTGTGTGTGTGG